CTCTTGCCATGCCCACCTGTCATATCCTCTCTTTTAGAAATTGCCAGTAGTTCTCTCTAATGTTTAATACTGTTTTAGTTATAACCAATAAAAAGATCTGAGAGAAATGTCTATTTTGCTTCCAGTTCAAACTTTATTCTCACAGAAAATACATCGAGAAACTTAGCTAAATTTTTAACAGTTCTTGTTGCATAGTTAGAAAGTGAAAAAAAGAAATTGATATAGTTATGGGACATTGTGTGCTTTTTGCATGTTATTATTCTGTGTTTTTTTATGCATTATGTAATTAAATATATTTATTATTTAATGCAGCAATTACAGTTAAGTGTATTAGAATGACAATTTCACTGTGATAACCAAGTGAAAATGCAATTGCAAGCTATTTTATTTGGCACTGCCTGCTTCAGATGTTTGTAGCTTTAGTCTCACTTTACTGTGAGTGCATCAGATAGTATTTTTAGCAGTTTAAGTTGTATCTTGGAAGGGTTGGGGACTTTGGGAAACACTGTGTTAGACACTGTATGGTTGTCAGATCACAAATTTTCTGTACAGTATTACATACTCATATTTCATTTCTTTTCTGTAGAAAAATGTTTCTAAAATGTGTCATGCATGCAAGAAAATGTAATTAAATGTTTCATATCACTGAGATGTTTCAGTTAACAAAGCAAGTTAAGTCACACATAACTATTAAGCAAAGCACTTTTCAGGTGTCAAGTGTACATGTACATAGCAAATTTCAAAATTTAAATAAACGTGTTTTTATAATGGAATTTCAACAATTTTTTGCAAAAAATATTTGAGAATTGATATTCCATCATTATGTAACATTTAATAATAATGCAATTCATAAAGCAAAATGAAGAAAATGTTTTATCTTTTATTTCTGTGCAGCCCCAAGGAGTTTTAACTGTAAGCAACATATTTATAAATTTTTTTATCATTTTTATGCATATCTCAAAGTATAGGTTTATATTTGCTAAGAAATTATTTTCCTTGTCTATTAGTGGTTTTATTACTATAGTCCTTAATTGCTACCCTTTTCTAATTTCATAACATGTGGCCTGAACAGTTATTAATGAAACTGAACTTTGAAATATGTAAAGATAATGATTAAGAGTGATCTGATATAAGAGATTATAATGTATTTACATCAATGCAGAGAAAAGTTTGTGTTTTCTAGAGATGTTGGTTATCCAAAGCTCCTATAGGGTTAAATAAAGGATTCTAATGAAAAATGTACAACAGACCACGGATCTGAAAATGTTTCTATAATTTCTTTTACCATTCTTTTCATTCCTGAAAAAGTTTGTACATTAGATTATATATGTTTTAAAGCTACATAGGTTTTCTTCTACAACAAGACATCAGGTAAGCTTAAGTTAGGTTTAGTGAGTGTGGTAAATGATAGCAAAATATTATGATGACTCAAATCCTTATTTATTTAATATTATTGTTAAGTTTTATCACATACAAATTGTGCACACAAATGAAAGAACTTGTTATAATAACTAACCTAACAAAGATAATGGTGATGTTATTTTGAAAGTTCAAAACCTTGGTCACCAGAAATATTGGTCGGATTTTGTTCTGCTTTTTGGTGATTTATAGTTGGAAGTAGTGACTGCTTTAATCTGTAAAATAAACTACAAGCTATTGAAACAAATATAACTGACTTAATATATAAATAGGAACTTTGTGATCATCAACAAAAAAACAATGTATTCTTAGATGCAAGTTAAGTATTTTTGATGTTTTTTCAATCATTGTTTTACAAAATTTTGGAAATTTTACAACTTAAAAAATTTAAAATATTAAACCAAACTACATGATATTTTGAAAATTGAAACTGTATACTATTGAGTAACTATCAACTGAATTACCTGCAACTTGTTTAAGTACTTGCACTGTGAGAAAGAAAAAAATCTGAATATCAGTGACACCCTTGTGGTCTGGAAAGAGTTTAAGGTACTTATAAGGTATTTCTTATTCTCTACTTGAGTTTACGTGTAATGAACAATTATTATCAGAGTTATAACTTGTAAGGTTAACATCTGATTTTCAATATGTTTGAATTTGGTTTTGCTTATTATTTGATGCTTTGTTGTATTTATATGTAATAATTTTGGCTGAATATATTTTATAAAGTGTGTTAAATTTTAATGTAGTCAAGACTGTTGTACTCTGTCAGCTGTTAGAATAAAATTTAGGTAGAGACATTTCTGAATAAATCAAATTGTATAATAATGTGCATATGCTTATCGTCTTTATTGTTCTCTTTCTAGGTTAAAAAAATGATTAGAAAAGAAAAACCGTTGTTGCGTAGGAAATCAGAACTCCCCCATGATAGTTTAACATTGAAGGCTCTCAACAACCACAAGAGAGCTGATGAGTACCTATCACCAGCAGCGTCAGAAACTAGTTGAACTCTGAAGTGGGTGTGTAGCAATGTGAAAAACTCCCTGAAATGAAAACATCCAGCACCACTCATAAAAAGCTGGTGCGGAAGACTTTTAATTTCACATTCCCAAGAAACTTTCTTGATACAAGATACTGCTCATTCTTTGCTAAAGCAATTCTTAAAACAACAATTTTCTGATAAATATTAACCTCAGAAGTTAAGAAAAATAGTGGAATGTGAGAATTAAATTTTGTTAAATAGTGTAATTTTAAGGTACAGAAATTTATCAACTGGAAGCATTTTTTGATGATTTTTTCAGAAGAGAATAATTAAGCTTTGAATTTTACAACTTAATAGAATATATCATTCAAACCATTACTATTAAAAAACTCTAAAAGTTTGTTTTAATGTAACACATACTTGCAAAAACAATCCTTGTTAAAATTTATACATGTTCTCAGATCAAATATTATCATTAGTTGAAAAATTATTAAAAACATTAATGAAAAGAACATTACTGAACTACAATGTATGTGTAAAGAAAATTTAAATTAGATTTATCACCAAGGCTGTTTTTTTTTATAGTTTTCCACAGTCACAATAAAACCAAAAATAAGTAACTGAATACTTCTATACAATGCTTGAGCCCTAAAGCTTATGGGGTTTTGTATCATAGGGTAATCCAAAAATTATTACTTCAAAAATATGATTTTTATGGTATTAAAATTACAATAATACAAAAAAAATCCTGAAGTTATTTGTTATGTGCCACTTTTTAAATTGTTTGTATTAAAATAGACATCTATTATCCAAGAAGAACACATTTTAATGTCTCATGTTACTAAAGTCTATCCAGAAACTGTGTTTAGTGCCATTGTTCATGGAGATAAGAAAGAATATGTTTGAAAGTCAAAATTTATGTAGGTGTGTTTTAGAAGTCAGTTAAGTACAAATACATCACTCAACATTTTTTATAGAATTTTACAGCCTAAATTATTTTATTTCAACTGGAGAAAGATGAAGCATGAACCCCACAGTTTTGCTAATGCCAACATTATGGTCATTTATAACATTTAATGAAAACTCTTGTTGTAACAAATCACTACGACATGAACATTTATGGTGATGCAGTTGTATTTGAATATAAAGTTTAGTTGGTTGGAATGAAAAAAAAAACACTATATATACGTTAAAACATAACAATGTTTAGCTGTTGAACTTCATGTTTTTGAATTATACCAATATTACTGTTTATCATATGACATTACTGACTTTGGCAGGGGAAAAGGAAAGAAAAATCTAAGAGCTAGTAAAAGGTACTTGAGAGTATAGAAACCACAAGTATTAATAATGTGTGGATAAGGAGAGGAGAAGGATGTTTTTTTTATCAATGTGAAACTTTATCGAGTATTTATGTAAAATAATGGGTGCTAGTAATAACATGGGAAGTATATAGGAGGTTGGAGTAATAATGTATCACAACCAGTGACATGTTCTTTAGCTTACATGTGATAGTTGAAGATTTCATTTAATAACATGGAAATTGTATGAAAGGAGAGCTTGTTGGCTTGCCTTGTCAAAAATGTCAGTTTATCTGGATTAGCTGTAGTTTGTGTGAAAAATTAAAATGAGTATTTTAAAATTTTCTGTGTTTCCATTTAGAACAGTGATTATAAAACATAAAAGTTATTTAAAAACTTAGATTTGGTTTTATGACAAGCAATTTCTTGTAGAATAAGTTTTCATAAAGCTGGAGCAGGTTTTAATAGTTCTTAACAATATAACTCCTATTATTTGGCAAGGTGCATTATACTAAAACTTTGACTTGTGAAATTTTTTTCTCTGACCATACATATTTAGACAAAGTAAGCTTTGTACAACACAGTCTGGCATTCGTTTTTAGTGTTACCTCTGTTGGGTAGATATAATTTTATCGATGGAATAAGCAAACAAGCAAAGCTTTTGAAAATTTATCATAGTTAAATACTTAGAATTTTTTAAACAAACCTCCTTTTGGGACAAGTAAAATTGAAAGGTGATAAAAAAAAAAAAAGAGGATGAGGATATGCCGCAATGTCTTGTGCATACAATATGTTTATTAATTATGTAATTTTACTCAGTGATGTCTTCTTTTATTATTATTATTCTTTTAACACGTTGGTTTTTTTAAAGTATGTTTATTTTTGTAGTTCCTGTTCATCTTAGAAGAATATGATAACATATAGTTTATTTACATAATTCCCAATGTGAATTTACAAATATATGTTATTTAATCAGTTTGCAAAAAAAAAACAGAATCTTCTGCTAATGAAATTATTAATAGATAAAATAAATCTTGTCAACTTTTTTTTATTTGGATGAGTTTAAACACAGCAATTTACTGCATTAATATAAGCTCAGTAGAAACTTGCTGTAAAACCTTGATTTAGAAAATTATGTGAAATTTTGTAGTAAAGTAACCTTTTAAGAAAACATAGTTATGGTACAAAGTTGAAAAAATACTAGTGTTATATTCAATGATTTTTGTCATATACATCAAATACATATTTTTTTTATCTCGTAAGAATTAGCTTAATAGTGGTTCTTTACTTTTGTCTTGTTGCAACAATGAACTAAATCTAACTGTTAGAACTTGGCTTTAAACTGTTCCAGCCATATTTAATAATAGAACTGTAGGAACAAGAATTAGCAGAAGATAAATGTCAGTAACTGAATTTTACTAATGGAAAAAATTGTATTTATAGAGAGTTGTTCCTTGACACTTATTTGAACAATCTGCTTTCAGGAAGATGTTTGATGGATTTTTGGATGTCAAATGTAAAGGCCAGTTTGGTTTAAGATATCTTCTCTAATTACCTAGCATAAAGTTCCTCTCAACCATTATATAGTTCACCTGTTAAGACAGTCAAAGTATTTGGAGTATTCTTTTTGTGATTAAATTTCACATTAAATGACTAACCAAACCATTTGAATGTTTGACTTTTAGTCAACTGATATTTTTGGAGAATTTTCCTCAGTGTTATGTACTTCAAATGTAATTATAATCATTGTACAGAGGTAATTCACATGTAACAGTTATTGTTTAATGTTTCTGTATTGTAAGATTTTTAACTTTTGTTCTAAAAAATTTGGTTATTTAAGGTATTGTGTGCATTTGAAACTAAGTGTTCTGCTTCATCAATATGCCTACTACCATTTAAATTTGTTTTTAAGGACATGATATTTAAGCATTTACATTTTTTCTTTGTATTAATGGTTCTTATTAAATCAATTCTATCGTGCTTTGTGAAATAAAATTTTCCCAGTAGTTCTAAAAGACAGATGGAAAAAAAAAAGTTTTTAGTCTTATCTTGGAGAAATACTTTTTTTTTATTATAGTGACATATATATTTCTAGTTGTAATAATATAGGCATTTATTCTACCAAAAACTATTACTTTGTGGAATTTGGAGGTGGAAAATTTATCATTTCATTCTCTGTGCTACTGTGCTTGCTTCTTTGAAGAAAGGAACATTGGCACTTAATTATGTGTACAAAGGATTGAAAGTCATCTGCTGTTCACTCAAAACTTGAGTTGTTAATGTTACTTGAGTGGAAATATAAGCTTGGAACAAATATTAGAAGTTGTTATAAACCTTAAAAAGTAATGTTGAAAAGATCAGACTAAACTAGGCTCATAAAATTCTCCATTAAAAAAAGAATGAAAATAAAAATTGATGGAAAAAGGTTAAATATTTCTCTGTTTAGTTGATAAGTTGGTTGCCTGTATGAAGGTTAGGTAAGTAAGATAAATATTTTAAAATTTACTAAAGTTAGTCTTCTGAGCAATGGCATAGATTCTTTCCTTTCTGAAGTATATTTTTATTGTTAGTTTACATTTTGATATAATTTTTGTTCTTGTTTTTCAACGTAATTAGCTGAGTCTGATTGTTGTGGACATATCAAAAGTCAGGTGAGGTTAAACTTTATATGTGTTTGCTACTTGAAAGATCAGAATGATAAGTCTACATTGTACATGTAAGTGAAGCAGGGACCAACTGAGAATTGTAAGCAGAGAAACTTAGTGGACCAGACTTCATTTTAATTTTATATTTTGTTTAGCCAGTTGTAATTAAATAGGAAGGGAATGTGTATATGGATATTAATCTTTGAAATAAAACAGTCTAATACATTATCCTTGAAAAAGGAGTTACTGCTTGTGGTTTGAGGATCTTGAAACTTAAAATTTGTTTTCTTCCACTAAACTGTTCCTTTGTTTATTGAAATGTTGATAACATCAAGTAAGAAAACACTAAGTTGTTTTTTCTGATTTGAAATTTTGAAAGAGTAGAACTTTGTTGAGATTTTCGGAAACATGGTTGAAGCATGTGGTGGTAATCACCTTGTTTGTATGTCTGTATCAGAATGCTTCTTATAAAGAGAACTACTCTTTACAGGTTCAAGCTTAACACGTGATTACATGATAATTGCCACTACAGTCATAGAGATTAGTATCTCATAGATTAACAGATACTTGCATGATGAAGACAAACTTTGTTTCAATAACATCTCATCATCAGTACAGAGACTGAAGTGGTAGCTGCTTTTAAACTATCAAACAGCTGAATCCAGAAAGGATTCAATGCCAATACAGTCTACTCTGCCAAAATTGTTTTAAACAGAGTAAAATTGCTTAATTTTACGAAGTTCAGAGTTACTGTAAATGGTTTATAGTCCAACATGCCTTCCTTAATTTTTTAGAAACAGAACAAACCTGAAATAATGAAAGAGACTATCTTCATTTTTATAATTCTTATCATGAGTATTTGTTTATGATGAATGATCTTCAGTCCAACTATGTTTATCTGTACAGTTCATAACAGCGGATGATCTGTCATATATTGAAAAATGTTTTTATTTTTTACATATTTATTTCACTAGGTAATTACATTCTCTTTGAAGAATTCTATTTAAATCTGTGGTTGGTTGTTCTAAAACTATAAAATTAGTTTATTAAATGCCCTCTGAGTGTTGGCAAGAAACATTACTAATCTATTAATGAGATAGTCTAAAAAATAAAATGTTTATACCTTTGAGTCAAATACTGCTTGATATACATTGATTCAATTTTTGTGTATAGTATACTACAGGATATTTTGCTTAGAATTTTCACATTTATGAACTTCCATATTTTGTGACATACTTTCATGTAATTTTGTTTTTTTTTAATGTAAGACACTGCAGAAAATTATACAATGTGCAGACTTATCAATAATTAAAAAAAACTTCTGTTAACTGAAAGTCATGGTTATGAGTATGAAAACTTGCTGTTCAGGTGTTGATTTTCTAAAGCAACTTGCTTAAATGATTATACATGAATCTTTATTTTTAAAATTGTTCGTTGCTTCTGTACTTGTAAGCGGATGGGTAGAGTATGTAAAATAAACTTGCCACTGTTCGTTTCACTTGTGTCTGTTTCTTTAATTTTTTAAAAGTAAATTATTAATTTCATATAATGTTCTGTAACTTCATTTTTGCATTATACTTGAAGAAGAGAATAACTGTTTATATTCTTGTACATAATTTTTAACTTTTTCACTGCCATGTTTATAGACAAACAACTACGATAGATGATAAGCTAATTCTTATTGTATTGCTAACTTGAGTTCTTTCTCTTTTACCTTCCTTTGATATGTTTTATTTTGTCATTATTACAATTCTTATTTTTCAAACTCTGGTGTCTAAGCAATGAGTCTTCACATACATAAGTCAGGTTTCTAAACTGAGTTGTCTGAAACTTGCACTGTAGTTCTTACCTAAGTTAGAATAAACCTTCCAAAACTATTGTCAACAAGCTGAAGATAATCTTAGGTGATATAATTAATTATTAAACAATAGCATAAATTTCATGATAATGAACTGGGGCCAACTGGAGAAAGAAAAGACAATCTTATTTATTTTACTGATACTCAGTGAAGATTTAAAAATCGGTATGAAGCATATGAATAAGTATTTCTGTAGATAAAAGCATTCTCAAAAGAATTGGGACCACATGAGTAGAAGGCAAGAAGAGGAAAGAAACAAAACAAGTACTAGTTAAGTTAGAGTTGGAAATAGGAAATCTTGTAAGGCTGAAAGAGTATCCAAACAAAATCTTATTACACCATGACCAAAACTGACTAAATTTCCATTGGGAAATGGAATTATAGAGCTTTGTTATGTCACCAAGAGCCAAATGCACTTGATGAAAGCAGTGGAACTTGAGTTTGGCCAAGAGCACAGCTGTTGTGAATAAAACAGAGAAAATACCAGAAAAAGAGGATGTATTAAAACGTGGAGGTAAGACGTAAAGATATTCAAAGAATCAAACAACGACCCAGACCAGTAATGAATCTTATATTCCTGACACATTTCAACTTTAACTAAAAATAATTAAGTACCAGTTCCACAACCACAAATTAACTAGTGGCTTGATCTTAGAACCAACATAGAAATAGATGTAAACCCCCAGAGAAGGGAGTTTCAAAAATATGCTTAGCTAGAGTAGTAGAAAATTGTTATACTAAGAAAACTGAACTAAGAGTTTTCAAAAGAGGCGTAAGATAGATTGATCAGCATTTAGATTGAAGGGAAACCACAGGTGAACACAAAACTGTAGTCCCCTAGGGCAGAAAGACAGCAGATTTTTAATCAAAAGTAAAATGGAACAAGTTTCTCTATTAACATCTTAATGTCACCAAAGCAAGAATATGAGCAGCATGTAGTTATTGGAGGTGTGCCTTAGAAAGCTCAAAATATTTCGATAAGAACCTCAAATCAAGCCAGCCTGGTGAACAGATCTCAAACAAGAAAGAAGCCTGAACTTGTCTATAATAAGCCTCTAGTTGACGTAAGCACAGCTTACCCAACAACTGTGTAGAAGACATCTGATGTAACGAAGACTTAAGATTTGAGGGATCCACAGAAAGGACTCGCATGATCGAGAATCGAATGAAACAAAAAAAAATCCAGCAATGAAATAGGCTAGTTTAAATTGAAAGGACGAAGACATACATTTCATTACATAGCAAAATTCACTAATATCAGGGGAAAGGGGGTATTTCAAGGAATATCAAGACCAAATATTGCTGGGACATAAGCTCTAACTTTAATAATGAACAAATAAAAGATAAAATTTTGAAAGAAAGTATCTAAAGTACAATAGATAGAAGATAGCTAGTAAGCACTGCCTACTCTTTTTTTTTTTTTCGTCACCCAAAGCAGATAACATGGTTTTGTTGTGATACAAATGGGACGCTGAACCTCAGGAGAAGTATAACAAATATTAATAAAAAAGGTAATAAATCATCTATACGTTTCATATAACGAGTTTTATGGATGTATATGCTCATCCCTACATGTGACTGCTATAGATATGCAGAGGTAGAATGTCCATCCTAATACATGGAATAACTTTACATAATTACTGCTTAAGTGTATATTTGAATACTTGAAAACATGAGACTCGTTGTTCTGGTATTTTAAGAAATACATAAGTTGTTAAACCAAAATAACAAAAAATTTGTAGTTTGAAATGTAAATAACTTTGTTTCGACGAAGAAATAAACTGAAAATGTTTCAAATACAAAAACAAAGTCACTTTAATGACAAGCCGGAATAAATAGATGGTTAGCACGTGATAAGATTAATATATTAACAGTTTTCGTAGGTTGGCTGATCTGTGTATGGTTAACGTGCAAAAAACAGACAGCTTAACTAAATGAATACCATATCATTTCTGACAAATACTAGCACAAGATTTCTGATGTAGAACTAATTTTGTTTAGAATTATATTACTGTTATAATCTTCAATGGAACTTCTCAGAGTTCTACGTCACTCGCATTATGAGGTGAGAAGAGGGAAACTACAATTTTTGTCTTCTTTATCTCTGTGTACAACTTGAGCTAAAAATGCGTCAAGAAGTTCATCTATTATCCAAGTCACGTGTGAAATTAGGTAAGTTTTTGTCCAAATGCATTGTCTTGTGTGACTTTTCGTAAAGGCAGGATTAATGCAGTTAAAGACTGAACACATCACACACTTATCAAGAAATCTGTATTAAGATTTGTACGAATAGAGACATTCACATACTATGTTATAGAATAACGGTTAAATTTATGATATTTACATATCACTCAAAGTAGTGTAACACGCGGAGAAATGAGGCTTATTACCAATATTAAAGTCAGTGCATAATTTCGTGGAAATAAATGCTTGTTTTCAGTGGCTTAACAAGAGTGAAAAGCCCTGAGGCAAGACTTTTCTGTTGTTTCCCCATCTAACCACTAATCATTCTCTCAGGAGGAAAGAATCAGAGAGTTGTAATAGTGAAAGTTGAACAAAAATGAGAACGAGTTTTAAAAGAAAGAAGGAAATTTAAATGGTATGAAAGTGTACATTGTAGAGGATTAGTCAGTACGATTAGAGGAATAAGATTTGAATGAAACGATGAAAATCAGAAGTGGTGATTAAAAATATGTAAAAAGCTGGAAGAAGAGGATATAAGGTGGATATGCAAAGAAAAGAATTTTAAAGAGAGAAGAAAAGATATGGAAGAGAATAGCGATAGAACATAGGAAAAAAGACAACGTAATACAGAAGAAAGATAAATAAAAAACAAGACAGAAAGGTGCTGAAATGTTGGTATGGAATGTAGGGGCATTATTTAGTAAGAAATACTGATTTTTGGCAGTATGCTTAGAAGTATGAAGTGGTGATCCTAATGAAGACATGGGTGGAGCAAAAGTCAAAGAGCAGTATAAAGAAAAGATCACGTACGAGTGTTTCGAAAGTTGAATGAACAAATTGAATAAAGGAAAGCAAAAGAAATTCACATAATATGTAGGTGGCAAAAGAAGTTTGAGATGGAAATTTCAGTTAAATGCGATTTTTTTATTATTATTAAGTGCAAAGCTACACAATGGACTATTTGTGCTGTGCCCACGAGGGGTATCGAAACTTGGTTTTTAGGGTATAAGTCTCCAAACTTACTGTTGAGCCACTGAGGAGCACTAAATACGAAATAAAAAAATGAAGGGGAATATTTTTGTGATATATATAACAAACAGGAAGTAGAGCACATGACATTGTAGATGGAAATGAAATTGTAGAAATGTTTATGGAAAGAAAAATGTAATATTGATGGAAAATGTGAACATAAGGAATGTAAAATAATTAAGTCAAGGATATGACACGGAAGGGACAGAAGAACGCCTGGCATGTGTTCGTGAAAAGAGTGGATAAAAATCATAAAGTCATGAATTGAATACGAAAGAAAAAATATAGAACTCTGTGAATCTGGGGAACCGGTTGAAAGAAAAAGATTAAAATAGGTGAGGAAAAAAGATTAATGCATAAAGAAGCGTTCTGGTGGGACAACCGTAAGTTTACAGTCTTGCAACGCTTAAATCCGGGGCTCGATTCTACGCCGTGGACACAGCAGATTGCCCAATGTAGTTTTTATTCTAAAACAACAACATAAAGAAGCAATAGCCGCTTCGTTAGTAAATTATATAATTGAAATAAAAGAAATTTTATCAATGATTAAGTGGGTGAAGGTAGAATCTGATCATTTGTTTCTTTTAGTATGGGATAAGAAAGTAGAGCGGGAAGGTAAGGAAGAAAGTGAGAATGTGTATAACTTGAAACTGGAGAGAGAACAGGGAAGACATTTTTTGGGCAGATGAGAAAAGGATATGAGAAGAATTAATAAAACTGAACTGAGCGACAACAAACTCGTAACCAAAACAAAAACTAAGGCTAGATGGCTCTGTTTCTTAAATAATAAACACAAAAATGACTATAAATTTCCGTTCCTACAGTGAGTTTTCTAATCAGTTTTAAAACAATGCCCTTAATTAGTTACTTTACACTAGCGGTACGGACAACCACTTTTACAATTAGATTATCTTGTTTACACATAAAGTTTTAAGATTTACAGCAGTGAAATTCTGGACATGATTTATCTAACTTTTTCGGTATTTCAAAACCATACATTTATATCATTAAATGGACTATTCTTGCTTCTCCTTCTTTATCTTCCGGTGACCAACTGACTATTTGCGTTTCACATACTTCACGCAACCTGTGCCAAGGCTGAAACAACTAATATTTTACGTGAATTTTCGCATGATCCTAGTCGTTTTACATAAAAATAATTGATAGGAAAAGAGTTAAGCAGAAAAATAATATATCCCCGTCTTTCAAAATCTGAGAGGGACGATTTGCCACAGTTCAAAAAGTGGATGGGACACGTCCCTTTCCCTGTAAGTTACGCTTATAGTTCGAAGCCAGAATAAAAAAAATGACATTTGTCCCTAATATTCACTTGGAACTAATGAAAATTATAGGCATAATAATTTAAAGTAAGTTAATATTAATTAATAT